GACTTAATCAGCCCCAGACAATGGCAAGCCCCTAACAGAGCCCGCTGCTAAACCCTAATGCAGACATCTTCAGTCCTACTAGAAGTCACATTCCAGACACGAGTGTCAGCAATAGGGGTAATCTAGTACGAAGGAAGCCACAGGAATTTGATGGGAAGGCACCGTGAGAAGCATATAGAGCACAATTTGAGCTCCTGGCAGAAATGTATGGATGGACAGAGGAACAGAAAGCTGTGTACCTGAAAATGAGCCTGTAGGGACAACCACTGGAAATACTTGGACAGTTGGCAGCAGACGACAGGCACAACTACAGAGCACTGGTAGCTACTCTGAACACAAGGTCAGTCTGAGGTCTACGGGGCTAGGGTTAGGACTAGAGTCAGTGTTAAAGGGGAAAGCCTGCAAGAGCTGGCACAGGACTTGGAAAGTATGGCACACAAGGCCTACCCAATGCACCAACCCATGTCCTCAAGGTGTTGCTGAGGAATCAGTTTGTAGACGCCTTAGACAGTCCACAACTGAAGATACAAGTGAAGCAAGCATATCCCTCTACTATACAAGATGCAATGGCCAGAGCTCTTGAATTCGAATCCTATGTTGAGTCCAGCACAGAGGTACCAAGGTTGATACAGTCATCAGGATTCAAGGCCAGAAAAGGTCAGCTTTCAGAGAGGTTTGAGGGATATTGCTGGCACTGTAACAAACCTAGCACAAGAGAGCTCAATGCTGGAAACTTCAACACAGGGAAGATGCCAAGGCAGGAAAGGCTGCTACCCAGAAAGGTTGTTGGAAGTGTGGAGAGCAAGGACACATGAGAAGCCAGTGTAAGAAGAATATTACCAATAAGTCAACTTCTGGGAACCAGTAGGGGTTGGTGTTGCCCACCAAACCCCCACCGTGAAAGTCCCAACAGCTAGGTGTAAAATTCCAAGCACACGTAGTGTCTACACAACAGGAAAGCTGGATGGCCAAAGGTGCAACTTTGTCATAGATTATGCGTTTCAGCAAAGCCTTGTGAGTATCAAGTTTGGGAACAATAAAGGCCAAATTCTGGTAAGTGTTAAAAGAGAGGTTGTACTAACCAGGTGCCATCAAGCTGAAGTCAAAGTGACTGAAGGAGTTGATGATGGTGAAGTGGAACCAGGTATAGTTATTAAAGCAGAGCAGGAGAAAGATCAAGAGTTGAAGCCAATAATTGATTTTCTAAAAGCAAGTGTTTTGTGCCCTGCTTGGGAGAAGGTGTCTAGTCCAAGTCCTGTGAAAAAGAACTATTGGGCACAATGGACAGTTGAGGCTT